ACATACATACATACGGTTACAGCGCCCTCTGAGATCTACCTTTCAAACATGAATGTACCTTCCTTTTTGTATACAAATGAAATAACAATCAACTCATTTAATCTATTTAACTATTTGATTAATTTAATTCAGTTAATTCCTTTACTTTATTATTTAATTTATTTAATTCATTTAATTTATTTAATTTATTTAATTTTGATACACCTTCAGCTGCCAAGGAGGTGACAGAGGGAAGGGATTCCCAGGGCCATTAAAAATTAAATAAATTAAATAAATCAAATAAATTAAATAAATTAAATAAATTAAATAATTCCTTGCTTATTTAATTTATTTACTTTATTTAATTCCAATACACCTCCATCTACCGAGGAGGTGATAGGGGGAAGGGGTTATCAGGGCGATTAAAAATTAAATAAATTAAATAAATTAAAGAAATTAATTTAATTAAATAAATTTCATTAAATTAAATAAATTAAATAAATTAGATAAATTAAATGAATTAAATGATTTCCTGTGTTTTTTATTGCACAATAGGTTTCCTATTGTAAATGCAAAAAAACGCAAGGAATTATTTAATTTATTTAATTTATTTAATTTATTTAATTTATTTAATTTTTAATGGCCCTGGGAACCCCTTCCCTCTGTCACCTCCTTGGCAGAGGGAAGGGGTTCCCAGGGGGGGGAGGACGCGTGGCGTGATCGGGGCGAGGACGGGAGATTAGGGAAGGAAGCTAACGCAGCCTCTGCAGCGCTGCTCGTATCCTGGCCGTCTTCATCCTTATCCTCCTGTTCGTCCTCCGATGCAGCATTTGCCTTATCCTGGTCACCGTACTCCTTATCATCTAGTTAGTCCTCGTGGGCCTCGTCCCCCTCCCCATCCTCCTGGTCGTCGTCCTCCCTCGCCCATCCTGGTGCTGATCCTCACGTCGCCCCCCTTTCGCTAACACGCAAACACACACACACACCTGTCCCTCCTCTCCTCCGTTCTCGTCCACATGTTCATCCTAGTCCCCTTCCACACCTTATCCACATCTTCGCGGTCATCGTCAACGCTCTCATCGTATTGCGGCTGGTCCTCGCGCCGCCCCCCTTTTCATCCTCCTCCGTCCTCGTCGTCGTCCTCCTCCTGTTCCTCCTGGCCCCCCGCGCTCTCTCATTCATCCTCTGTCCTTCCTCCTCCGACCCTCAGCCGTCATCTTCGTCGTCCTCGTCATCCGCATCGTCCCCATCATCTTCATTATAGCACTGCTGCTGCCTCCCACTCCTCCGCGTCGTCCTCCCAGTCCCCTCCCCATCTGCACCCCTCTCCCCCTGCGCCCCCCCTACCTCCCCCCGTGGACGGAGGAGGTGGGCGAGGAGGAGGATGCGCTGCGGGCGAGGTGGACAGTCGACACGATGAGGGCGAGGGTGAGCGATGCGAGGGGGAAGAAGCAATGAGGGGGAGCATGTGGGGCAATGTTGAGATTGCCCTCAGCAGAGGTGGGGGGGCGAAGAGGCGCAGCTGATGATTCACTGATGATGACGGCGGCGTCGACGATGCTGATGGCGACGATGGTGGCGATGATGCCGGGCATTGCGTTGATGCTGCCAGTGCTAATGAGAGGACACGCGGCAGGATTGGGCCGAAGATGAGCGATAAGAGAGGGAAGAGGCAGAGGGGGCGCAGAAGGGTAATGTTGAGAGCCATACCAGCAGAGGTGGTGGCCGAGGAGATGCAGATGATGATGACGACGCCGACAATGATGATGATGATGATGATGATGATGATGATGATGATGATGATGATGATGATGATGCTGATGATGATGGTGATGATGATGATGATAATGATGATGATGATGATGGTGGTGGTGATGATGACGATGGTAGTGGTTATGATGCCGATGCTGTTTTTGAATCTCGGCAAAAGAAGGGCGAGGATGAGTGATGCGAGGAAGGGGTTCGGGGGAGCTGCAGGATGATAGTGTTGAAGATATGCCGTCTTGCAGCTGATCCTCACGTCGCTCCTCATCCCTCCTCTCCGTCCTCGTCCACCTCTTCCTCCCGATCCTTTTCCACATCCCATCCACAGCCTCATAATCATCGGTATCCTGCTCATGGTATTCCTGCTGGTCCTTGCGCCGCCCCCTTACATCCTCCTCCGTTCTCGTCGTCGCCCTCCTCCTCTGAAAAGTAAAGGGGCAAACCCCAGAGCCAGAGGACCCCCGATGGATCCGACTAGGATCCCGATAGGACGCCATTAGGGATGGAGCAGACTACATATCCAATGTGCCCCATATTGTGTTCGAATGGGGTGTCAATGATCACCCACTTGGATCCAGATGGTTATCCTCCTCCTCCTCCTCCGCCTCCTCCTCCCCCTCCTCCTCCTCCCTTTTTTATATGCGTGAGAGAGAGAAAGGAAGAACGCAACGAGAGAGAGAGAGAGAACAAAAAACATACTTTCTTCTTATTCCGCCTCATTTGTCTCTGCTTATGGGTAAACACATCTGTGGGTGCATGGAGGGACGGAGGGAGAGAGGGTGAGAGATATAGAACGGCACATGAAGAAACCGACAGATATTGAGAGGCAGGGGGGCTGCACTTGTTGTTCAGAGGGTGTGTCCTTGAGAGAGAAAGCGAGATTGAAGGAACAGCACAGATGCATGCGCGCGACATAAGGACATGTTGTTCTCACTGTGTCGAAGGTAGGAGACACGCCGAATGAGATGAAGATATATATATATATATATAAATATATGTTTTTATATATATATATATATTGCATATGCACAAGAATTCCTCGAGATGGGCAAAGACATCGCACGGATAATGGGAGATGGAGGGATTTTCTCGTCTCCTCCTCCTCCTCCTTCACAGCTGCGTGGGAGACACCTAGAGAGAGAGAGAGAGAGACACACACAAAACAGAAAGAGAGAGAGAGAGAGAGAGCAACAAAAAACAAAAACAGAGACAAAGGGAAGGGCTGAAGCAGAGATGAAGAGAGACATTGCTTCCCGACGGAGGAGAGCTCCGGAGCCTACTTTATACACAGGTCCTTCTGGGTTTGTTTGGGCGGTGATACCACCAAGCCCTACTATGCACATTTGTTTTGTCATTTTTGGTTTCCAGGAGGCCCGCAAATTTCGCCAGGAAGGCTTGCGAGAGGAGCGTGTCCACCGAACCTTACTATACACAAGTCTTTTGATTTTTGGGGTCAGGGATACCAGCTACTGTGCGCAGTTGTTCTTTTCAGGAGGCCCGCAGATTCTGGCCAGGCCAAGTCTGTGGACCTCCCCGAAAAAATCGGTGTATAGTAGAACTCGCTGGTACCACCGTCCCCCCCCCCAACAAAAAAACAACCTTTGTATAGTAGTGTCTGATGGGCATGCTCCTCTCGCATGCCTCCCTGGCCAAGCTTGCGGGCCTCCTGAAACAAAACAAGCATTACCAAACACATGCGTATTGTGAAGCTTGGTGTGGTGGTGTCACTGACCACAAAAACCATAAACACATATGTATAATCGGATGTGTTGGCCTTGCTCCTCTCGCAAACCCTTCTGAGCAAGAGGAGGAGGAGGAAGAGGAGGATGGACAGAGAGAGAGAGAGATACAACAAACAAGTAAATCAAGAAAGAGCACGGGCGAGAGAGAGAGGAGAGAGAGAGAGAGAGAGAGCGAGAGAGATAACATAGAGAGGTATAAAAGAGAGACAGAGAGAGAGAAGGAGAGACAGCACCGATTGGGCAAGGGGGGGTGCTGGGAGGGAGGGGCTGGCATTTTTTTACACACGTGGATGTGTTTTCCTTCTCCTCCTTCCTCCTCCTCCTCCTCCACCGCTCCCCTATGCTAATTGCAAGCTTCCGCCAGCTTCCGATGCCGATGCTCGGGGGGGGGGGGATGAATGCTAGAAGGCTGGCGAAGCGGGAAATGGAGAAAGAGAGAGAAAGAGAGATGAAGAACGAGGGGTAGATAACAAGAGGACGAACAAACTAAGATAATAATAAGATAATATGACAACGCAGAGAGATGGAGGAGCGCTTCCACTCGATAAAAACCATATGAAAACGGCGAGGTCCGCCACAATTCCCCGACCTCGAGAGTTAAGGAATGGAGGAAGGAGCGAATAAGAAGACGGTAAAAAGAAGAAGAGGGAATAAAGCCAATCAAGACGAGAAAGGTAGATCACAGAGGGCGCTGTGAGCATACATACATACATACATACATACATACATACATACATACATACATACATACATATCATTTTAAGTATAGATATATGTATGTATATGTATATATATGTATGTATGCGTCAACTGTATGTTACCGTGTCTTGGCCAGGGGGGCGTATGCATCGCTCCTGGGCCCAGGATGGGCCTGGCCAGGATCGGTGTAGGTGTATAAGGGAAGGCGTACATGCGTCGATCTCGTCGCCAAAGTCGTAGCAGGGCGAGGAGTTGAAACAACGGCAAGTCAAAATCGTCCTCGGACCCCTCCTTGGGTCCAAACGCACAGATGTTCCGAGCTGAATCCAGCTGTCGCAACGAGGGGGTTCCGGAAGGCCAACTTCCGTTGTCTCAATTGGCCCTCCTCTGAGTCCCCCTTGTCGCCCCCCATGGCCGACGCCCTCCCTCGGGCTGGTTTCCTGGTCAAAACTTGGGTCTCGGGCGGCTGTTCGGGGCGATCCGGACACTCCCGGAACGCTTTCGGCAAGGCGCAGCTGATGGAAAGCACGCGCGAGAACCTCGAGCCTCGAACGTCGAGCCACCGTTGTCTCAGCTGCACATGGCCCGCCTCCGACCCACGGTGGCTCGGCCAGGCCGAGGGGGCCCTGCTTCGAGGGCCCTGGCCATCCGGAGCTCCCCTGCGCGCCCGCCGCAGGACCGGGGCCCCCCCCCAAGCGGGGAGCTGGACGAACCAGGCGGCGTCACTTTCGTTCCTCGCCCTCTCTCCAGGTGGCTTCTGCTCCGAGCGTCCCGGCTGGCAGTGCCCCCGTTCGGGGGGGGCCCCTTGGCCGCCAGGAGCTCGCCTGCGCGCTCGCCGCGCGCACGGACGCCACCCTGCGGTGGCCGGCCTCGGCGATCCTCGCGGCCGCCCTGCGCGCGGCCCTCGACGAGCGCCTCGGCGGGCGGGCGGGATGGGGGGGGAGTCACCGCCCACCAAACCACCCCAACCCAACCCGAAGGCCACGATTTGCCGTCCATTTCCAGTGGGGGGGGGTCGGGGAACATCGAAAAAACACGTGGAACCCGTACCCCCCCCCCCAACCCGAAGTTCGGGTCAGATTCGGGTCTTCGGGTTGGGTTGGGGTGGCTTGGTAGGTGGTCAGAGAGTCCCGCGGAAGGCCGCGGCTGGGCGCCGCGTCGGAGCGCGGGGGGGTCCTCCAGACGTGGCCGGGCACTTTCCCCGAAGACGTGGCGTTTCGCTCGAGAGCTGTCATCGTGGTCAGAAGGGGACCGATCGGGTCGTGAACAAGATCACGGCGGCGGTTTTTCGGTTTGTCCTGTTTTCGGCCTTTGGGGGACCTTACTGGGCAGCGGGGTTTGCAACAAGAAAAACTCAGGATGAGAAGCTGGTCCCGGGGAAGGGGTTGAGGTCTTTGGGGGCCGACGTCATTAAAAGGCAAGACGCCGAGGCTTCGGGGTAGAGTCCCACAGGGGCGGCGGGAAGCCTGCCAGAGGCAGGCCCCTTGGATCGCCTGGTCCGGCAGCCGTATCGCTTGAGACTGCCTCGCGATCAATTCAGGAACCGTGCTCTGGCTTCAACGCTGGCTACAATGTGTTCCGGACGGCCACGATCTCACGTCAAAAACACGAAGGTGCACATGGCCGTGTTCTCATCCTTGTTCTGGCATGTTTTCACTTGCCGACATCCTACTCCTCGACCCACATCGTCACCTGTTCTACTACTCACGTGCTTTTACGGGTGTGATTCTACATATATATACACAATACATACAGTTATGTAAACGTAATTGTGTATACAAATATTCGCAAACTATAATAATAGGTGTTGCACTTTTGTATTACATTTCAAAGTATATCGCAACACCTGCTGTCGTGGTATATCGTGGTGTTTATTTTCAAGCAGGCGCCAAAGCACGTTGTGCTACAATATCTTATATTATGCCATATGGTATTGACATTGGTATGACATTGTTTGGCGAAGATGGGTTTCCATCAGTGTTGGTGCCGGAATCGTCTCGAGAGGCCGCCAGAGGCCCGAGTCATGCATTGGCCCGAAAGCCAATGAGCGCAAGGTCAGGGGCAACGTTAAGGGGGGGTGGATCAGCTCCGGGGGAGAAGCATCCCCCGAATCGCCCATTCATCGCCGGTAGGGGCCTGATAGCCCACCCATTCCCAGGCTCCTCGGAGTGGAGCTGCGAGGTCAGGCAGCACCGCCCCCAGACATGCTGGCCCGATAGCCCACCCCGCCCAGGACCCTGCGGATTCTCTTTCTCTCTCTCTCTCTCTCTCTCGGGGGCCTACCGCCGATCTTCTAAAGGGGGGGAAAAAAAAACACAGACACACTTAATCTTCGATCCCCCAAACAATATTGGAAAATATGGGAAGTGGGGGGGAAGACACAAATCCAGGAAATGTTGGAAAATATGAGGAATATTTTTACGTGTGTGTATTTATTTGTGTGTCCTGGGGCCCCTTGAGATCCATCGCTTCTCAGAGCTCCGCCCCCCGACGTTCCCTCTAGGGAGTCCCGATCAGAGCGGCCGCGCCCAGGCGTATCCTCGGAGGGCGGGGCTCCAGAGGGGGGGCGCTCGCCATGAGTCAGGGGAGGAAGAGGTACTGTTCGCGTTCCCAGACATGTTCGCGCCGTGAAGAAGTCTCGACGGGAGGTTTTGGGCAGCTTTCGAGCCCCGGGACCGGCGAAAGACGGCTCGGGATGAAGCACCGGCCTCGGGGAAAGGGTCGGGGCTTCTGGGGACCGCGTGTTGAAAGCGTCGAGACGTCGCATGTCTCACCAGCCTCGAACTTATCACTATCCCCAAGATTGACACACCAAAAGGCGGTGATAATCTTTAGGATGCGCCCTCAGAGACTGAGGGAATCCTTAAGATCGGCATCGTGATGATGCGATGCCCAGCATAGGGATAGGGATAGGTTCCAGGCTGGTAAATGTCTGTCTGGGTCCTTTCCCTTTCCCTCCGTGCTCCTGCGCGCGCGCGCGTGCTGGCAGGAGGGAGGGCTATGGCCATTTTGACTCAGGTCCGTCTGAAGAGGCGACGCGGTCGCCGAAAGCTCCCCCCCGGGCGGCTGAGAGAACGAGCCGTCCCAATCACAGGCTCGAGACCGTCACCTGCTGCACTGCGGGGGGGCAGGTCCTTGGAGGGCGCACTGGGTCCAGGCTGGGCTTGTTGCATCGCGGCAAGAGCCGGCCACTTACAAGGAGAAAGCTCCCTTCAATATAAGCTTGAAAACTCGCAGGATGCATGTTTGGGGGTTTTATGCGAAGTCGGTTCCTCCACGTCTTTTGACAGTAATATTACAGCTACGGACCTCATAATTTTATAGACAGACGCGGCAGGGGGGCAGGGGGAAGGGGGCGCGCTTCTCAGACGCACCCCTGCTTCTTGAAAGGTGCGGGTCTTATCTGTAGATGTAGGGCTGGCGCCCTCTAAGAAGCAGCCTCCTTCTAAGAGGCCTCCCCCCAACCCCTACCTCCTGGTGCGCACCGCCAACGCTGCCCTCTTCAGGCGGGGGCCCCATCACGGTGTGGTGACCACACCGCGTGGTGGGTCCGTGGGGCCTCGGGGTCACCGCACGACTTTGGGACTTGGGCCGTTCGCCGAGGACGTCTCGGGCGACTGGGGCCTCCGAGGTCCCAAGGCCGTGCGGTGGCGGACCGCGCGGTGAGGTCGTTGGGGATTCCGGGGCCACCGCGCGGGCCGTCACCACACGGTTTTGGGGGATGCCCGCGACCCTTCCCAGACATGCTCGCGTCGTGGAGAAATCACGATGGGGGAGGGGGCCAGGGGCAGAGTGGCGGGCGTTTACGGCCTCCAGGGGCCTTCGCCAGGCCCCGGGGGAGTCAACGAACGGCTTTTGACGACCAACGGGCCCTGGGAGAGGGTCGGGATTCCCGCGGAGCCCGCATTGAGAAAAAAAACAGGGCGTCGAGTGTTTGGGCTCACCACCCCAGAGCTCAGCCCCCAACCCCCTTTTTCTCCTCCGCCTCGCTGAGCCCAGGGCTGGGAATCGAATGCACCACCTGGGCCCTGCCCGAATGCCATGTCGCCGTGTGCAAGGGGCCCCTGTACTCAAGGCCGCATAACGTTAGCCGATCGGTCCAGTCAGGTAAGAAAGAGAGCAGCGCAGCGTGTGGACAGCAGCAGCATAAGAAGGAAGAGGGAAGCAGGCGGCAGAGAGACGAGCGGAAGACGGAGCGGAGATTCATGGCGGTTCGTGCAGTACGGTTCTTTGCTGTGGTGGAGGGGTGGATTCGGCCGGCTGGGCCTTCCAGGGCACGCGCCGCCTGGGAGCCGCTTCTCGTGGAGGGAGGGAAGTTGGGAGTGACGGAGGGACAGGGACGCAACCAGATTGGCAGCTCAGTTCCGGATTCTTCGTTCTGGTGTTCCTGTCGGACCCCGTCATGGAAGTTTTTTGGGCCAAAGCGGACACCCTCCGAGTGTCCAGGAGGTGTCTCTTCCCTGGGCCATCTCAGAAAGGAGCCCTTGATCTGTCGGGCCCGTCGCGGTCCAGCTGAATAGCTTTTTTCGCGCCTTTCGTTAAGGCTGGCGAGGAGTTTCTAACCAAACGTGTCGACAAGGGTAGGGGGCAGGTCCTAAGTGTTCTTTTCCGATGCCGGCTCGTCGAAGCTCAACCGCGGATGTCGGTGCTCTGCAGGCCAGGATTGTTCAGATGAGCGCCCCTTCTGGACAGGCACCGCCGCCCCCATTTTTCGGAAGGCTGCCGCTTTGATTCAAAAGTGACCAGGTGTGCTGACCGCGAACAGAATTTGGGAAGCACATGCTTTTGAAAAAACGAAGGAGAGGGCAGCGTAAAGAGGGGTCCGATCCGGCCCTCGGGGGCCTGATCACCTCCAAAGTCTAGTCAGCATCCAGAGGTCCAGAAAACAGCCCGAAAGGGGACTCAAAGGTAAGGTGCCGAAAATTGCTAACGTTGACGCTGTGAAGGCGAGGGTTAGTCAACCGCTTCCCGCACTCCGCGGGAAGTCGAACCAGAGGGGGGAGAAAAGGGCGGAAGAGAAGGAGGGCATGCAGATGAAGGAGGGTGACGAGGTAGATGGCGGGGCAGAACGGCAACGGAAGAGAATGTGGTGGATATTGTGCAAAGGACGCATGGAAAAACACAACAAGGATCACAGACGCGAAGCAGTGGTATCAAGAAATATCCGAAATCACGAAGCAGGATGAGGAGGAACGAGATGACGAGCCCCTCTGTCACAGAGGGCCCCCCCTCTGTCACAGAGGGCCTCCAAACGCAACCCCTCTGTCACAGAGGGGCAACATTATCACTTTAATGTGGCTTTTGGATTATCACCGTTGCCATATTCCTGATTGCGCGTGACAATTGGGAAATTGTTGGATAGCGGCAGTGTTTCCTCTTGCCGAATTCGTGTGGACAGGGGCAAGCAGGCGATGGGCAAATTGGGGACAACTCTAAACGGACACGCGTCCCCACCAGAGTTTCCAGTCGAAGCTCGAAATCGCAAGAAGGAAGCCATTCCAGAACATCTAGTTGCCATCGGCCCATCCCGCCACCGCGCCTGCGTTGTAGGTCAGAGGCCTCTTGGATTTCTGTAGTGATTTCGGGGAAGGCCTCCCGGAAGCCTTTTGCAGGCGGTTTGGGGATGTCTTGGGACCTCTCGGGGGCCTCTTAGGGGGTCTCTTGCAGCGCGATGCGGGCTTCCTGTGGGCAGCCTGTGGCTTCGTCAGGGCCTCTTCGGGCTGCTGGCGGTCTCGGGTTGTTCTCCCGGGCCGCCGCAAACGAGGGGCAAACGCATGCCAGCTAGCATTGGAGGTAGTTCGAACACGTCGAGGCGTACCCATCGGTCGTTGAAAGTATGTAGTTTTGGATTCCCAGAACCCAATCTACTTCAAGCGCCTTCCTTCTCCGAGAAGCTACATGCTGTTGCTGCGTGTTGATATTCTCTGTGCGGGCATGAACCCAATCTACTCTATCCGCCTCCTTACTTCATGTGTCTACCAACTTCTTCCAAACGATGGGTAACCTATATGCCAGACTGAGCTGTGCAGGCCGAAAGTAAGCGTCTTAGCCAAAAGTGGAGGTGCAAGCTTACTTGGCAAGCCACGCTCAAGTTCGCGGCTTCTGTGGGATCCAGAACTCCTAATGGCCATGCCAAACCAGCGATCGCGGAATATTGCTTCCGGCATAGCATATTGGGTGTCCGTTTTCGTTTGGGCGTTGAAGACTCGATCATATTGGTGAGTCGCATGATCGACGCGACACAATTGCGTAACGAACGTGGTCCTGGCTGAACTCGATTTGGATTCCCCCCCCCCCCGCGGTACACATGATCCCGAGAACCTGACCAGTGATCATTCGAGCAAATCCGAACATCGACGCCAAGAGGCTGGCATTGCCCAGGAGGGTCCTCTATCAAAGCTTTTACGTTACGGATCTTGACGCTTTCCGTGAATTGAATCTCAAATTGACGGTCGTTTATGTGACGTGCACGAATATTTTTATGTATTGATGGTGATGCATTTGTATCCCATCATGTTGGGGTCACCCTAACATGTTGGCGACGTGGCATCGCAGTAAAAGGCCCGAAGTATTGCTTGCAATTCAGCTGGGACAGTGCACGCGAGCGTCTCCGATTAGAGATGCGGACCTTGAGCATGAATGCTACCTGCACCCCCTAGATATTGCCGGTGATTGAAACGACTGGCCGTATGCCCCGACAGTGTAGGAAGTTTGGGAGGCGTCCGTCGCCAAGCCTGCACGCGATTCGGAAAACCAATCAGGACGGTGCCTCGGAGGGGTCCTCTTGAGACAGGTTTGGAATTGGTTTCTGGACGAAGAGGGTTTTTGTGTGATTAGCAAGCGGTTCGCGTGCACCGCCCGCTTGTCTAGCCTTCGCTGGGCGAGACGAAGATGGCCCCAAGACGCGCCGAACCAAATCCGAGAGGGGCCCACGGGAAGCCACGCAAAACACCCAATGTTGTTGGAAATGGCCCCGGGACGGCCCAGTTGAGAGTTCGGAGACGGCGGCCCCGAGAAGTTGTTTACGAGATCGGCATGCAGGAAGATCCAGAGGCGGCGCTTCCGCAGCCGCTTCGGCTCGAGACCCCTGCCAGGCCCGCCGGCGGTCTGTCCGAGGTGGAGCTACGGCTGCCGAGGCCGAGCTCGTCCACACGGGGCAGCTTGCCAGCCCCATCCCGAGCGGCAGCGGCCACCCGCCCGACATGCCACCCGCTCCAGCCGAGGTGGCGGCCGCGCAGGCCACACACGCCGCCCAGCGGCAGCCCTGGGCGGGCGTGGACGGCAGCTCCGTGCGGGTGCTGGTGCAGAACACGTTCATCAAGGTCGTCGCGGAGGACCACGGGTGCGCGCGCGTGCGGCGCGTCCGTTCGGCGCCCGCTGCGCCCGTGCCGAGCACGGTCGAGTGCGAGTTGGGCGCCCGGTGCGGCGCCGCGGAGGCGAGGCTGGACGCCCTCGACGCCGCGCTCGGGCCGTCGTGTCAGGCCGCTGTGCCCTTCGGCAACCGGTCCAGCGACGCCGAGGTTCTTGGGAACCGCACCACCATGCTGCTGCGAAATTTGCCGCCCAACTACACCCGCGATCTCCTCCTGGAGCTACTGGACGCGCACGGCTTCTCGGGGCTCTACGATTTCGTCTACGTGCCATTCGAGTTCGGCTCCGGCACGACGTTCGGCTTCGCTTTCGTGAACCTCACTGGATCCGAGATTTGCGCACGCTTCATGGACGTGTTCGAGGGCTTCTCCTCGTGGCAGGTGCCCTGCCAGAGCAAGTTGGTGGTGAGCTGGAGCTTTACACAGGGCTACGAAGCCCACATCGACCGCTTCAGGAATAGTCCCATCATGGACGAGGGCGTTCCGGACGGGTGCAAGCCCGCTGTGTTCGCGAGCGGGGCGCGCGTGGAGTTCCCGCCGCCCACCAAAAGGCAGGGTCCATTTCGATCCGATCGGTGCGATTCGATATCTGCTCTGGTTGGCCCGGTTCGATTCGATTCGGATTTTCGTGCGATCCGATGCGGCCCGATACTTTGATGGTGCCGTTGTGCGACGTGGTGCCCCTGACTTGATCTGAGTTCGACTCTGTGTCGATGTGGCCCGATTCCTCGTCACCCGCGGGGGCGCGAAGATGATCGCGCTTCGCTCGTCGCGGCCTGCGCCAAAAAGGCTGCCTTTCTCCAGTGGGGGCGTTGTCGGGGCGCGAGTGCGCGAAGATAATGGCGCATCGCGGGGCGCGATGCGCGAAGTGCGCGATGCGCGAAGTTTGGTGGCCAAGGGACACAGACCAGCAGCAGTTCTCCTGCACGTTTTGAACGAGAATCTTTGCCGGCGTCGCCACGGAAGTTGCCCGCTGGAGACAAAAGGTCACCTGTCCAACAGCGGTCGCTGTCGGTTTGGCATCGTTCTGGGTTCTAGGCCTCCCAAATGGGGCCCGCGTACATGGGGTCGGTACATCGGCGATGCAGCTCGATGCCGATTGCCGATTCGACCTGTAGGATTCGATGCCGATTGCTCCTGCCAAGAGGTTGCCGCTCATCCGGCGGCAGCGGCGGCGCCCCAAGCCGAGCGCCCAAGGCTGGGATCCCCAAACGGTGTGGTGACCACGCCGCGTGGTGAGTCCTTGGGGCTTCGGGATCGCCGTGCGGTTTTGGGACCCGGGTCGTCTTCCGAGGACGTCTCGGGCGATCGGGGCTTCCGAGGTCCCAAGACCGTGCGGTGACGGACCGCGCGGTGAGGCCGTTGGGTTCAGGAGGGAAACGTCGACACAAACACAGCAAACATTTCGATCTTCGTAGAACTGTATACAATATGGGATATGGAGAGGACGAATCAAACCCTGGACATGTGGCTAAATATGTGACATCCTGTAAGTTGTGCAGATTTGCTTGTGCCCCGCTGGGCCCCTTTAGAGAAAGTGGAAGAGGAGCATAATCAGGATGATGAGGACGAGGATGAGGATGACGATGATGAAGATGAGGAGGATGATGACGATGAGGATGTTTATGATTATGGTGACGGTGATGTTGCCGCCGCTGCTGCTGACGAGGATGAGGATGAGGATGAGGATGAGGATGAGGATGAGGATGATGATGATGATGATGATGATGATGATTATGATGATGATGGGAATGATGAGGAAAATAGTGATGATGATTCGGATGATGTTGACGAGGATGATAAGGATGCTGAGGATGAGGATGAGGATGATGATGCTGATGATAGAGATGATGATGATGATGGTGATGATGATGATGATGATGATGATTATGATGATGATGATGATGATGATGATGACGATGTTGACGATGGTGACGGTGACTAAGACGATGATGATGATGCTGATGATTCTGATGATGGCGATTGCGATGGCGATGGCGATGACGACGATGACGACGAGGATGATGATGATGATGATGATGATGATGATGATGATGATGATGGTGGTGGTCGTTGTGGTGATCATGATTCTACTGGTGATGCTCATGCTGATGATGCTGCTGATGATAAGGATGGTGATGCGGAGGATTTTAATGATAGTGATAATGAAAATGATGATTCAGATGCAGTGGAGGAGGAGAAGGAGGAGGCGTATATGGATGGTGAGGGTGATGGTACTGGTGATTGTAATGTCGATGACGACGGTGATGGTGGTGATTACGTTGACATCGTTGATAACGATGTTGATGATGCTGGCGACGATGATGATGATGATGATGATGATGATGATAATGATGATGATGCGGATGATGCGGATTATGTTGATTCGGATGTTGATGTTGATGCTGATACTGGTAATGATGCTAATACTAGTGATGATGATGCTGCTGATGCTGATGGTGCTTATGATGATACTAATGATGTTGCTCATGTTGCGGATGCTAATACTGAGGACGATGATGTTGGTAATGATGTTGTTGATGCTGATGAATATGCTGGCGATGATGCCGATGCTGATAATGATGATACTGGTGCCGATGATGATGATTATGATGATGATGATGATGATGATGATGATGATGATGATGATGATGACGATGACGATGACGATGACGATGCTGATGCTGACGCTGATGCCGATGCTGATGATGATGGTGACGATGTTGATGATGATGATGATGATGATGCTGCTACTGATGACGATGATGGCGATTATGATGCTGATGGTGCTGATGGTGACAGGGATGATGGTGATTCTGATGGTGATGATAATGATGTTGCTGACGATGCTAATGCTGATGATGCCGATTCTGAAAACTATGATGCTGGCGAGGATGATGATACTGCTGATGATGACGTTGATGCTGCTGATGGTGATAATACTGATTATGATGATGATGATGATGATGCTGATGCTGATGCTGATGATGATGATGATGATGATGATGATGATGATGATGATGATGATGACGACGACGATGATGCTGCTGGTGCTGCTGATGATGATGATGATGATGATGCTGCTGATGATGATGATCAGGAGGAGGAGGAGGAGGAGGAGGAGGAGGAGGAGGAGGAGGAGGAGGAGTCAGAGGAGGGGGAGGAGCGGGAGGGGGAGGGGCTGGAGACGGAGGAGGAGGAGGAGAAGGAGGAGGAGGAGGAGGAGGAGGAGGAGGAGGAGGAGGAGGAGGAGGGGGAGGAGGAGGAGACGGAGGAGGAAGAGGAGGAGGAGGAGTAGGAGGAGGAGGATGAGGAGGAGGAGGAGGAGGAGGACGAGGAGGAGGATGATAGCGATAATGAAAATGAAGCTGGGCGGGCCGATGTCCGCCTGCCGCCGCGGCGGCTGTGGGTGTGTCAGGCCCCCTCTAGGGGCCACCACTCCGACTCGGGCCCGCAGCCTTGCTTAGCCCGCCTGCATTCCCTCGCCTATTCCACCGCAGAATGAGGCGACTCAAACCCGTGCAGGCGAGCAACCCGGGCCAGGTCCGGCACAGGGACCTTCGCCCCGTGCTGGTGAACGCTGGTGGGGCCTGGATCCCAGGAGCCGCGGGCGCCCGAGGAGGCCCGCCAGCGGGCCCATCCGAGGACCCCATACTAAGAGGCGAAGGCCCGACCTCACCGCCAGACACACCGCCCTCGGCCCCCTATCAGCTCCCCCTGAAGCCAGTCGACATCCACATCCTCGGGGCCTCTGAACGTAGACAGCTTAGGTGGAGGATCATGGGCCGACGGGTGGAGGAACCTACGGAGCATGGACATCTGAGTCTTGAGTCCAGGGTTTTTTGGGTCCGAGGCACACTTCCGCAAGGCCTTCCCCAGGGACAGCTCTGAGTCCAACCGAGGTCCCACACGACATTCAGAGCACAGTAAGTTTGACCAGCACCTGGGCCGTCCACATCACACGTCACCGCAGCGTGCCCTTGAAACGGCCACGGCCGACCAGGAACCAGCCCAAGCTCAATCCCACCCCCCACCGTTGCTGGGCTCGGGTTCGGGCTCACGTGGGGTGGGGAGGGAGCAGCCAGCCTCCAGCATCGCGCTCCACCAGGAGGAGGAAGAGGAGGAGGAGGAGGGGTAGGCAGAGGAGGAGGAGGCGGAGGAGGTTGAGGAGGCGGAGGAGGCGGAGGAGACAGAGGAGACGTCGGAGGAGGATGAGACGGAGGGGTGGTAGGAAGACGAGGAGGAGGAGGAGGAGGAGGAGGAGGAGGAGGAGGAGGAGGAGGAGGAGGAGGAGGAGGAGAGGAGGAGGAGATGAGAAGGGTATAAACGAGGAGGAGGAGGAGGAAAAGGAAAAGGATGAGGAGGAGGAGACGGAGGGGGTAAGAAGAGGATGAGACAAAGGAGGAGGAGACGGGGGGGGGTAGGAAGAGGAGGACTAGGATGAGGAGGAGGAGGAGGAGAAGGAGGATGAGGAGGCGGAGGACAAGGAGGAGAAGGATGAGGAGAAGGAAGCGGAAGACAAGGAGGAGGAGGAGGAGGAGGAGGAAGAGGAGGAGGAGGAGGAGGAGGGGGAGGAGGAGCGCCCGAGGCGGTGCCCCCGCGCTCGCGCCGCCCGTCGGCGGACTCGCCCGCGAGAGCCTCCTGGCGCCCGGGCTCGTGGCAGTGGCCGGGGCCGCCCTGCCGCCAGCGGCGCGCCCGCGGCAGGTCGGCCGCGGCGCGGCGGCTCCCAGCTGGGCCGACCTGTCCGAGGACCTCACGAGCTCGGAGGAGGAAAAGGAAACCGATACTGCTGCGCTCGCCTCGTCTTCGTCTGCTCGGGCCTCCTGGGAAGCTCCCGCCGCCACCGCCGGAGTCGCCACGGAATTCTGGTCGGAACGCACCCTGGGAGAGCTGCGAGGACCTCACGAGTGGCGAGCGCATCCTTCCAGGATCGCGCAACCGACCCCTTATCCGCATCTCCATGCCCATCTCCATCCCTATCCAAGCCCCACCATCTCAGCACCCCAGTCAGGGATCTACCCTTTCGAAGCGGGAAGCAAGCGGCCTACATCCCTGCCAAGGGGGCACATCGGCCACAACCATGGGGATTGGGGTCGGTCACACGATGCTCACGAGCGCATCCTGAGATCTGTGGGTTGCATTTTTTCGCAGCGGGCGATGTTGCCCTGTGTTGGGCCGCGGGGACCTCACATGTCGATCTGGCTCGGAGAATGCCGCAGCAAGATAGGCTCTAGGGATCCAGTCGTGCTTGTTCGCGATGTTGCAGTGTTTTCGCACCGTCGGACTTCAAGGTATCCATACCCACGTCCTCGAGGTTTGGATTCCGGGGCGCGATCCTGCGGATACGCGGCCCAGGTTCCGCGCCATCGAGGTCTGGATCCACGTTCTGCGCGGGGCATGCGCGAAGAAAACGCCCCGTGTCGCGGCCCAGGGGCCTGGCCCGGCCCGGCTGGGCCGACGTGTCCGAGGATCGTTCCCTGGCATTCGATCCCGAACTAACCTTCCGGGTCTGTTGGAGATGATTTTATATCCCCTGGCGATAGCGGGCCCAGGCCGGGGGAGAGGGAAGGGGCAGGAGGCTGGCGACGTGACGATTCGCGCCTCCGCCGTCTGGGGATAATTAAGAATGGCTCATTCCCAGACGTCGCCGGCGCAAGTCGTGATGTGGCCAGGTCCGGGAAGGGGGAGGGGGCGGGACCGGTCACAAGCGTCATCGCGAGTAACAAGTGGCACGCGTGCCATGGTCCTTGGAGGAGGAGGAGGATGTGTTCCGAGATGAGGGCCACAAGACGGCCCCAAGTGCTTTAGGAGCACCCTCGGGACCCCTCTCAAGAAGCTCAAATCTTTAAAACATCGCAGGAACAGTCGTAAATTGTACCTTGTCACCTTTTCGCTTCCACTGGGTTTTTGAAGCCTCCATGCTGGGCTGGCTGGTGGAGAGGGCGGTGCCAGCCCCGTGCGTGCGTGCCGACATGTAATGGTCGCTGCGGATGCGACGCTCCAGATGGGGGGCGAGGGAGAGCTGGGCAGGCTGGGGGCGGGGGGACGCGGTGCCGGTGCCGTGCGTGCGTGCCGAAATAAAGTAGCAGGGGCGGAGGTGGCACGCTGCCCTGGGGGAGAGAGGAAGCGCTGGGCTTGGTGTGTGGGTGCGTGTACGAGCAGTGCGAGCGAGAGCAACACTGCGTAGTTACGACCAC